GTGTCCAAAGGAGGGCAATAAAGCTGGTGGAAAGGCTGGAATGCACGTCCTGTGAAGAGCAGCTAAGGACTTTGACTTGTCTAGTTCAGAGAAAAGGAGGCTGTGGCGATCTCATTGCTCTCTACAGCTTCCCCAGGAGGGGAAGTGGGGAAGGAGATGTTGGTTTCTTCTCCCTGGTATCCCAGTGACAGGATGCGGGGGAATGGTTCAAAGCTGCACTAGGGGAGGTTTAGACTGGACATTGGGAAGTATTTCTTTACCAAGAGGGTGGTCAAACACTGGAACAGGCTTCCTAGAGAGGTGGTTGATGCCCCAAGCCTGTTGGCGCTTAAGAGACATTTGCACAATGCCCTTAATAACATGCTTTAACTTGGTCAGCACTGAAATGATCAGGCAGTTCAGCTAGATGAACACTTCAGCTCCTTTACAGCTACAATATTCCATTCCATTCCATCCTATCCTACCCTATCTCAAGGAGCAAGGCAGAAGCTCCTGTACAGAGCAGCACCAGAGACACCAGCAGCAGCTCCCAGCCCTGTGCCAGGCTGGTTCCCTCCCCACTTTGCACAGATCTGTGCTGAAAGCACAGCAGGGCCCCGACTGGCCTGCAGTCCCCTGGCCACCCCCTCCCTCCCTCTGCTGCAAAATCAGCTTCAAAGTATGGGAGCACTTTTCTGTCTCTCTTAAATGCAGTACTTACAGTTTGCCTACTGCTTTGCAAGCTGCCAGCTGCTTTCAAGACTCTATTCATCATGGAGGAAGCCTCAAAAATAAAGATGCGGAAAGGAGCAGACTGCTGAGAGGCCAGTCCTGGCCTACAGGGCCCCTGTCAGCAGGGAATCGGCCAGGTGGGGGGTTGCAGGTGAGAGCTGGGGCTTGGCACTGGGCTTCCCTGCCCATACACACCCGGTTGGGGCAATGCAGAGATGCGAGTGCTTCAAGGCCACAGTGCTGGTTTCCTCGGGGTAGGGCAGGACTCCTCATTTATTTTTGATTAGTTGCAATGACCCTGAGAGGGATTAAACATGAGGGAGGCAGGTGCATCCCCAGACATGGCAGAGAAGAGGGGGAGGACCCCTTCTCACCTGGACCCGCTTTGCCCTGGGAGTTGTAGCAAGGATGTCAGCAAAACCCTTCCCCACCTCACACCCGCCTATTAGCACAGCACTTTTTTGTAGTTTCTGACAAATACCCCCCCTTTTAACCTCTGCTCTCTGAAAGAAAGCCTCAAGTGCAGCTGAAAGTCCTCTCTCTGGCATTTGCAGCCTTGATAATGGCCTTTTAAAAACATGTGTAGTGGTGGGGAATCACGGGAAGAGAACCAGTCAATGATAAGCTGAAACATGTATTTTCACCCCCACGAGAGCCCTATTTCACATATCCGAGACCGATTTTCCCCACAGCAGTCGCTTATGCCAGTCACTGCTGGCTGCGTGCAGGTCTCCAGCCAAGTGCAAGGGAAGGGTTCTGCTCGGGGGGGCTCTGTCTCCACCACCTTCTGAGGCTCCTCCAAACTCCATTTTAAAGGGCAGGAATTTAAGCTGTCCATGCTTAAGCTGTAGCTTTCTGCATCCGTGCTGCTCTGCACAGCCTCCAACCAACACAAGCACAATCCCTCCTTACTCAGCATCTCTTATCTTTTGGAGCAGCAGCCGGACATTTCCTGTAAAACTTATCACACAGAGTCATTTTCCCAAAGAAGTTAATTACCGCGGTGGAAGAACGTGAGGGGCTGCGAGTACGCAGGGAGAGCGTCATGCAGGAAAGGGGCAGCACAGCACTACTTCCCAGGCTTGCGATGCTCCTGGAGGCAAAATTAAGTCTTAAAAACATTGCCAAAAAATTATGATCTACCCACTGAAAGCCAAACCACCACTGGCTGTTGGAGCGTCTCAGGAAAAGTCTAGCATATTTGAAGTCAATGTATTTAATTTAAGCACGAAACTCAATTATATTGCTGTTATGGGATTACACAGTGGTTGCAGCTTTTTAACTACAGTCTAGATGCTATGTATGCTTAATACATTTCAATTAAACATTAATTTACTGAAACGTATTCTTACCTTAAAAACATTTGAAATTCTGTGGTACGTGGAAAATTTGGGCCAGGGGAACAATAGCCACTTGAGCTAAGATAACTAGTATATCAGAAGTTCTGAAGTGACACCTTTGACATTTTAATCATAAATGTGATTAAAATGACCCAAATATTCTCCTAGTAGTCTATCTGCTATTTTTCATACAGAAGATTTTGCTTTAAAATGCCTGCTAACTAAAGTAAGTTTGAACTAATAGATGAAACTGAGCACATGCTTAGTAAGTAGAGACATACTGCATCTCCTGAAAGAAAAACAGCTTCTAGTTTTATGGAGCTTTGTTTTGTCTCAGGTACTTATTATCAGAACTTGTTTCCTACAATCTTTGTAAATGCAGTTAAAACATTTGCAGTCTCAAAAGCAACCTGCAGGACACTCAAACGTGAAAGGATAGGAAGTCATTTAAACCTAATTTGAAGCAACCCCCCCCCCTCAAAACTCACCTTGATTCAACTCCTTGGCTGAGTCTTCACAGGGCTTAGAAAAGCCTCTCCCCTCTTTTCTATGTTAAGAAAACCTTTAACATGATCAATGTTAACATGGTTATTTGTCATCCGGAAAGCCCCAAAGTCTATTGCTGTCATCAGGGATGGCTTTTTGGATAGTTAAAATATTGTGTTCCCATTTGATGCTGGCTAACATTGCTATGCCAGATCTGTGGATCAGTTCAGACCTGCTATTTTTCTCTGTATAATTCCATTTCTCACACACTTGTCCCACAATAATAAGGGAAATAAATGGACAACCAAATCTCCTGTAAGAATGAAAATCTATAAATAGTCCCAGTGCAGCAGGTAGATATAACATCTGGCTACCAGAAAACTAGACTGAACACATAAAAAACTAAACTTAAAACTGCACTTGTAAATACACACAGTCTTTTCTTTGAAAAGAACAAGTGTCACTGGTCAGTGTGAAATGCTTTCTTTTACTAGTAGTTTTCCTAAAAATGTATTTATTTAGGAGAAAGGCTTAAAATGCAGTGTATGTTGAAAAGTGGTGTGTATAATATAAAATAAAACTCAGTCTTTCCATAATCTCAGATTGGGAATGTCAATTCATAACTACCTGTCACTAGTCTATGTATTTTGTTTTCTCTGCCCAGTGGGGAGAACTCCCCCTGCTTTTACTTTCAAGTGCTGAATCTCTCGAGGGGCGGGGAGGGCACCTTTGACCACCAGCACACTTACCTGCCCCTTAGGACAAAGAACAGCAGATACTTCTCCAGGTATCAGAAAGCTGCTTTTAGGCGTGGGAATGCTCAGACCTTGAATCCAGATGAGTAGCCAGGATAATAGCCAGACTTTTTCAGGCATACTTGTTATCACCTCTCAATTTTAAAACATCGGTTTAGTTGGGGATAGAAATGCAAAATCTTTCCAATTGAGCAGCAGCACCAACCATTTAAAGATTGCCAGGGTTTTCACTCCAGTGGATGAGTTTTGTATTTCAGAAGCAGAAACTGTATAACCATCTGTTAAGACAGACACAGGTGACAGAAGTACTGATACAGTAACAATACCAAAGACACAGGTTCAAGGCTGAAAGCTGAAGTGGACACCAACCAAAAAGATTATTTCAAACCTCTTGCCATTAGAAGTAGACTTATTCATTCACAGGGAAAGAAGCATTGCGACAGTTGTGGCAACACACAGCCTTAAAGCCAGCAAGACAGGCTAGAATACATCCAGCAAAAGATTTTTAAAATTAGTTTAAAACATCCTTCAGTTGAGCAGCGAGCTGACAAAGCTTGGCAAAGGGAGTGAGGCAGCACCACAGAAAGCTACTCTCGCAGGAAGACAAGAAAAAATATTTGAGAATACTGATCCATGAGGACAAATGGTTAAATGACAGAGTAATTCCTAAGGATGGAAGTTTTATTCAATTACAGAAGCCTTCAGTCATCAGTGACAAAGTTATCTACATACATCCAATTCAGAAAGTTGAATGTCAGGTTGTTTCTTTTTTGGATCAGCCTCTCCAATTTCATGGTATACAGCTCAAGCTTTTACTTTACCTGCCTTTACAGTAGACAAGTAAGAGTCTATTATTACAGAGGTGCCTGCAACTACAAACTCTGTGTCAGATGAAAAAAGGTGCTTTCTTCCACCTAACTTTGCTTTTGGGACAGAACAGATGTAGTTCCTTATGACCGTAAGAAATGAAGCATCATTCTAAGTAATTACTGATTATTTATATAATCAGGAAAATGTACAAACGCCGTCTTCCTATGACTTGGAACAAATCAAACCAACCCACAGAGTAAATAAATACAAAAACCCACCACACCCCAAACCTTGTGGTTTGTTGGTTGTTTTTTTTTTTTTAAAGTTAGCAACACATGTGTGTGTGTGGAAACAAGATCACATACGGAGACAGCCAAGTAAGTGTGAATACAAAAGAAATGGCCAGAGGCTACAGTGGAGAGGAATAAAGTTTAAGATTATACAACATCCAGTTTAAGATTTTTTAATCCAGTTTATTAAATATTGCTTTGTGGGGACATGTTTACAACAAGCCCAAATAAATTGTTTAAGGATTCAAAGCAGTCATATTAAAATACAGCTTCAATATAAAGTTTGTCACAGTTTTACAGTATTCAAAAATGACAGACCTGCCTTAAAAAAAGACTATTACACCAAAACATAAGAAAAACAGAAAAACAAACAAGTTTGGCATTTTCATAATCTTTATAGTATAAAACAGAATATTAAATCTATTACCAGCAAGCTGATACTTCAATCTATTACCTAGTCTGAAGTGTCTCCCATTAAAACACACTATACAACAGCACTATACAAAAGTCGTGGTGATACTCATTTGATGAAAGTGCATCCCTGAAAAGTTTGCCAGTTTATTATAGTTAGCTCTTAAAAAAAAAAAGGTAAATTAAAACGTCCTCTTTTAACTGAAGGCTTTTTTTTTTTTTTTTTTTTTTTTTTTTTTCCCACCAGGGGGCAGCGTAAGATTAACCATCAAATCACGAACGGCTGCAAATATTGTGCATTCACCTGGAACAGGGAAAAGAGACAGGTTAGCATCGCTCCACAGACAGGCCTTCACTCTAACAAGCTCCCGAGGCAGCGCCCTACGCCGACTCCGACCCCGCCGGCACAGCCACTAGCCTGTACCCTGTGCGGGCAGGGGGTGACGGTACACGGTGACTGCGACTTGCCAATCCCAGCGACCTCCAGGGATGTCAGGATTTGGCATAATTATAAGTGAAGTAGCTCCGGCTTTCCCAGCAACACCGCTCTTGCTTGTTGGTCGTGAAATTGCAAGAAGCTCTTAACTTTTAATCGCTTTTGAACGTCTCACTGAATTGATACTAGAATTTATCTTACATGGCACCACAATCTGAATTTTTCTGTATGTTATTAAAAGCATGACATCTTATACAGAAAAAACCCCACTTTTTCAGCTTCTATTTGTATTGGTTAAGAGCAGAAACTAAACATTTCAAGACTCAAGTCTGAAACAGCTGGAAGATGTTTTCTAGTCTAAGCCTAGTTTTGGAAACATTTGCAGTTCCAAGACTGGGCAAAAGTCACAACCAAATTGCTCTGGCTCTACCCTAGACATCTAAACTGCAAAATAAAACACAGAGCAAACGGACTTTTGTTTCAAACAGCTGAGATCTAACACAGAGAGGGAAAATCAGCCACAGCTGTCTCAAGTTTTGAATACCAGCATTTTTTGGACAATCCTCCCCCCTCCTTTCTGAAATAGATTAAAAAAGTTAAAACCAATAGAATAAAAGGGTTGAATGAGAACAACAAAAGGTGAAGTACTAGGCAGCTGTGACTTTCATCTACTGTTTCCTGGTATGAGAATACAATTAATAGCCACTATTGTACCCTGGTCACTGTGGGATGAACTTTTCCTGCATATTTCAAAAAACATCAGTTGGAAGACATTGAACTCTGTTGCTGAAGGAGCAACAGTATGAGTAAAGAGATAAGAGCAGAGCCTGTTGGGATGCATTAATCCTAACTGCCCAACTAGGGATTCCCAACATTATTTTGGGCAAGTCATTATTATATCAAAGCTACAAAACTGGGCTAAATACCATCCACTGCATCACTGAAAATCAGACACTGAAAAATGCTTAGCTGTGAAGTGCTTTAAGAAATATCGCAAATCCCTTGAGCTCCTCTCTAAGGGTCACCTCCAGCATCTGTAGGGACCTTCATTTCCTTACCAGACTGATGTCCACTACATAACATAGGTTGTAGACTTACAGCTCAAGTTTAACACTATTATTCCAGGGCACTGATTCCATCTCAGTTCGTATGATTACTTCCCCAAAATAAAATATTTTTTCCCCATGAAGGCATAGGTAAAGTGATCTCAGAGACAGTGTACTCACAATGAGTCAACACTTTACTGTTAAACACAGCAGAATGTGTTTGCCCACAGATCTGAAAAGAAAACTCTTCCAAAAAAACTTACTTTTCAGGCACTACCATTTTATTAAGAGGAAAATTAAGCTGAATACAAAATACTTTCTCACAAAGAGAGAAAGGTAAAAAAGATACAGCCAAAATGAGGCAACACTGATTATGGGTTACAATAAAAGTGCCAGTAATATCATACGTGCATGATGGGAAGCCCTGGTCCTTTCTGACTGAAACAATGAAAAATTCACTTAACCAAGCAAATTGCAATTAGTGCAGCAGAAGAGCTAACACAGGTAGGAAAATCCCGGGTACAGCACAGTAGTATCAGAAGAGAAAGGATATGCATCTGGGATCTCCCATGTACTGCTGTTTTAAAAGAAGTCTCCCCACTATCTACATTAATCTGTTGGCTTTCCTAACTATCACTTTTCAATGGCAAAGAAAAGAAGGTATCTTATTCTCTTTTATCAGATATAATAATGTAAGTTTTGACAGTGAGAACACAGGAAACTGCATTTCAAGTGTCTTCAGGAAAGATCCTAATTTGGCTGGGTGGTGGTAATAAATAAATCAATCCATACAGACTCATTCTTTCTTTCAGAAGTCAGAGGAAAGACTACTAGAAATGTCTTCTGCTCAGCTAGCTACGTTCTTCTTTGCCTGAATGAGGTTCCGCTTGGGGCCACAAGCTCTTTTTATATGCATTTTTTCCCCTGGATATATTCTGCTCCCTGTACCGTATTCCTAAAGTACTTCAAAACCTGTGTGCCAAAAAAAAATTGTCTATCCTGATCTACCTAATGATCATAAGACAACATCTCACCTGGGATACTCCAGAGCATTTTTGACAATTACCCCCTAGGCTGAGGTATTTTGTGGAGGGTTTACCTTAAAACACAACTTAGTGCAATAATAAACAGCAAAACGATTATCTACCCTTCCCCACACTAGGGAAACTCAGGGGGGAAGCACCTTCCAGAAGAAACACCTGAAGTTTACGTAACGTATCTTGAAATAAATGGGCTATACAAACAACAGTTCTGTATCACATACAGAACTCTTACAGGTAACCCACACACACCCTCAAGGCTATTCTCTCTCCTGTTTACCTAAACTATTACTATATGTTAAACAGAAAATGTATGTTAATTTAAATCTCATCACAATTTTCAGAAATGTATGCATATCCACACCAATTTAAGATAAACATTGCTCATGTTCTAGCAATCAAAATAAACCATCAAGCATAGTTAAAATTACCGCATAACAACAAAATTAATAATTACACAGAAGTAGAATTCAACCTCTGGATTCACAACTTCAATCTATCCACTGGGTTATTGGAAAAAGACTTTGTTCTTCAGTATGTAACTACAGTAGAACTAAAGTTGTTGTTCTTACGAGCCATCTGTGTATTAGGAGCCCAAACCACTGCTTACAGATAACATGCTGCCCAAAGAACCTGCTACTGTTGTTCAATGATTCAGATATTAAAAAAAAAAAAACAAACCAACAAACAAAAGCATGACAAACAAGAGGGAAAGCAAAGCACAACGTTGCTCACAGTGCACTACCTACAGGCCGATGAACATTCAGAACAACCTATTTAGCTCAAACACTTCACAGCACGTTTGGTGGACTGAACTGTATGCACCTCTGTTAGCGTACACACTGACAAAGGAGTATACAATCACTCCAATTACTTTTTAATCATTCACAGCACATGGACAAGTTCTGATAAGTATTTTAACATCCCTTTATATTCTACTGTTAAGCTCAATAACTTCATAATTAACCATGAAAACTGACACTTGACCACAGCATATTTCTTGTGACTCATTCTGGGCCCATTTGTTAAAAAATATGACTCCTACTGAGCAGCAAGAGTTGGACCAACAAGAGGTGCATTCTATGACTTGGGCAGAACAGCAAAATCAAGCCTGAATCATCAGTGTAACCTTCTGCTGTGCTGGCAGTACTTGCTATTAAGTTATGTATTGCCTGTCACATCAGGAGTTTATAATCACTAAAGTAGTATAATAGAAACCAAGAAGAATTCAGACTTAAGAGAGGTTTAGTTTTACACTGGAGATTTGTCACAGATGTCTGGGTGAAGAGAATATATCTACTGGACATGTACAGTACCTGGTCGTGGTGAATTCAGTTCAGCAAACCTCTTTAGAATATTGCTAACCATCATTGGAGCAGCAACAGAAGAGTTCTGTTGCCTGGGAATGTCAGCCTGTTGCGTTGTACCCGAAGCCATATCATAAATAATTGGAACAATAATACTAACAGCTTCCTGTGGGACTGTTGTTTTCTGTGTTAGCTGGAGCTGCAGGAAAAAAAGTGTGTTAAATTGAATGACCATGTATTTCAGCACAACTTCTGATACAGTTAAACACTCTAGCCCTACAGACAGCATGCACTTCCACCCCCTCAGTTTTCACACATCAATTTTATAACAGAAGTTATCAACCAGGTGTGCACTATTTTCTTCTCAAAAGCACCCTACAGTGAGCATTGCCTCAGAGATGATACTAATATAGATTTGTTCTAAACATCTCATTCCTGTGATCCTTTCCCAGCACCACTGATGTGTGTATCACCTGATCTAGGTGGTTACTGCCTCAAAGAAGAGCCAAACACCCAGAAACTGAGCATTTGAAGATACCCACAGACCAGATGGAATTGAATTTTATATGTTGTCAACATCTCCTCAAGAACACCAAACAGAAAGAGTTGCTGTGCTTTTATAGGAGGGAGAATAGGAACACTAAATGAACTCATTACAACAAAGATGCATGCAGATCTAAGCTTCCAAACTGCAGAACATTTTTAGCTATTACAGTTGTCAGATATAGCATGCTTATGTTTTGCTACTAACCCGTGACAAACAGCCCACAAAATTTTAAAACAGATAGCTCTACTTACAAAAAACAACATTTTGGATTTCAGCACAACAGCAGGTGTTCCTGGAGGAGCAATTGGCGGTGCACTGGGAGGAATTGTTAAACAAAACTGCACATTCCATTTCAGCTGACTTGCCTGATCAGGGAACTGTTTAGAAAGAGCAGCACAGAGAAAGAAGAGCAAAGGCCTCACGTCAGTGACATACACAGCTATGAACTAGGAAAGTGTTAGAAAGTAGAATGCGCCTCTCTAGCTAAACTTGCAGATGTTGCCAGGTTTAGCATAGGTCAGTATAACTCTGAAAGAACTGACCACACTGTAAACAAGAATACAATCAGAAAGATCGCAGCCAGCCTATGCATGTGCCTATTGAGCAGTAATGTGCTTGCAGTTTCTCAAAATCATCAGTTTAAAGGAGAAATTTTGGGAGTTTCCAGGGGAACCAGAAGTAAGACAAGAGCTTCTTTATTAACACTAAATAACATATATAGAGAGTAATTTATGAGTTTATAGATAAAGATACAGCACCTTTTATAAAAACATAATAACCAAAGTTGGGTGAACTAAACAGATCTTACCAGCTCAAGTTTCATGATGTGTACGCAGTCCCTGAGGATATGCGTTGGAGCCCCTAGTAATTTTGTGAAGGCTATTAGGGTGTTTGCTTTAAAGGGTGGTCCTGCAACCTAAAGGAAGACACTATTTAGTACTGCCTATTTAGATAATAGCTGTATCTTTTAATATAGTAACCAGATTGCACAACTGTTAATTTTATATTTTGCAGCCCTTACACATGCCAACAAAAGTCACCAGTACCACTGAAAATACCACCAGAAATTAAAAACAATGCACAAAAATCTAAACATTAATGATTTGAGTACATACCCTCGTTTCAAAGAATTTCTCCAGAACTTGTAACTCCTCTGATTTCCACTGTCCTGTATTCTCAGGCGTTACTTTCAGTTGCAAAGTCTGGTTGGTTTTGGGATTGAGAGCAACCCTGCACTTCAGTGCCTCCGTCTTAAACATAATGACACCTGGTTCATTGGAGTTTATTAACTGTAGCTGCATAAGAAGAAGCATTACATTCAATCAGTCACTTGTTAAATAGCATGAACACACACACACATTCACTACCAAGACTGTAGTGATCAATCTGCCCTCTTTCCAGAAAGAAACACAATATTTGTATACAGGTAAAACTGACTTGAGAATGAAGTTTATGCAAGATCTGGCTTCTTTCTCTGTCACTGAATCAATGCCAAAGAAGTGAAGAGGCAAACACTGTCTGTCCCAAACCCTAAACATTCATGACTAAGTAGTTCAGTTATTGTCAATTAGTAACTAATTTATTGGGCACTCCTGCCCAGAAGTGGCATCCATAGCAACGCTAAAGCTGTTCTAATTAACTCCCAGCAGACGTGCTCAACTCACAGAAGCCATGGCATCTGAAAGTCTGTCCACAGCCTTGCTATCATATCAGTTATCAAATGTCACAATTTGATTTCACAAACTTCATCAAACAGCTTTCCACTCCTAACTTGTGGAAAAGCAGAACTAAATGTTTTTTCTAAATTCTGGCACTTTAGATGGCAAGATTCACAAGTATAGCACAAGTCCAACTGAAAATACTTATTATATCTGAAGCATTTCGGTTTGTGTCTGATTTGAAAGACATGGAGTACAGAAGCATGGACTAGAACTGTTGTGAAGTCATATTCGCAAGTCAATATTAAACAACCAAAACCATACCGTTTCTTGTTGTATGATCCTCTGAAGATGCCTCCTCATAATAACTGATCCAAGGAATCGCTCAAGGGGGGAGCAAAGATAGCTGCCAGCTAGCCCTGGCACAAGCCCAGGGGTCGGAGAGGGCAACAGCAGAATATTCAAGGCACTGTGGGTGAGGATTGTAGGTATGGATGCAGCCCAAGAGCGCTGAGGTAGTTTACGAGGTGGAGGCATGCTAGTTGGCATTGCTTGGGAACCTATTGATACGGGAAAAGTACATGCAGTAAGGAAGGATTTAAGCTGAAACAAGATACATGTTTGCTTTATCTGTTGTCACTACACAATGAGTTCTCTGGGCCAAAGCTTAGTCCTTCTTACTTAAGAATTTGGCTGTCTAGTGATACACAACAGATAGACAAGTCAAAGAATTAGTTTTAACCCTCCACCCATGCGAAGAGTCTCAGTAACATTAAAATCCTACTCCCTTTTCCTTTTTCTGCAGCATGCCAGCAGATAGCAGGTTTGTACAACAAACTCAATGAAATGTAAAAAGATGGCTAAATCAGTCGTGCAAGAGCAGCATTACAACTCTATGATGTGAAAAGTTAGTATCTGAGTAGGCAAATATGCCTATCATTGCTTTCATTCCAAAGAATTTTCTCTCAGTCACGGAGCTCAATAGTTTTAGACTAATTTCTGCAGCGCACCAAGAGGAATCAATGTTGGTGAAGTTTATGCTGTATGATTTAACTCGTTTACCAATTTGTTACAGAAGATTTGAACCTGGACAGAATTAAGGCTTCATTTCCTTCGATACTTTACTGCACAAGGGCAGTGGACTGTTAGGCTTACATACAAAACTACTAAGAACAACAGAACTAGAAATGTTAAACATGAGTGTTTCACAGTCATAACACTGATAAAGCAGCCTACTTGTTCCAGCTCGTGGGGAATGTGAGGCATCTGGGACAGGTGAATGAAGGGAGGGATTGGCTGGTGACATTCCAGGCATCCGTGCTGCTGGTGATGGACCAGAGACCTGGGGAGATCCTGGCCAATTTCCTGCACGCTGACTGGGTGACATCATGGTGTATGGTGAGCTTGGGTCTATGGTACCTACAGATGTTACAAGACCGTTATTATTTTTTTAAAAAGTCTGAGATTTTCTAATCTAGAGATCTGAAAAAGGCCTACCAAAATCTGTAAAGCATGAAAGCATCTGGCAAGCTTTTAGACTACATTTTACAACCATATAAAACACATAAGGAAGGGGAAAGCAAGATAAAGATTCAAGAGTTTTCTGCTGTATTTTTTAAAAAGTAAAATGAAATTGAATGTTAAGGCAAATTGGCACGTTCAACACGTAGCAGAGTCTAAACTAAAAAGAGCTCTTGCCTATAGACTTGGACTTCTATTGCTTCTTAGCAAATGAAAGCCTTAGCTAGACTGTTCCTTACCTATTCAGTATCTTGCAGTTATCTCCACAAAAGTATCTTTGGTTTTGGACTCCACTGATCAGAATAAGCTTCTTAAACAGTCTGTTGTATATCTATCTCACATTGTTCATCTTGACAGTTAAAATGGTGTGCTAAAATGATAATCTGAACTGCTCACTTACTGTGACCTATGGAATGGTTTCCAAAGCACTGTGATTACAATAAATAATTGTTTTGGCAGCTTTCAAAAAAAACTTAATAAAGGAAACAACCAAAAGGCATGTTGCTCACATATAGGTATGTCAAACCAGCAAGACTTTTGAGAATGTTTCCAAATTGCAAGTATTTGAATTCCTAGCCTGTTACAGTTATTTTTCCAGGAAATGTAAGCAGTGAAAATACATTAAGTAATCTAACAACAGATAATGGTCATTAAAAGCTGCAGCCATTGTTCTGCTACAAGACCACATGGAATTTCCCCACATTAGTAAGCTGGAAAGTGACTGATAGTCAATTTTTAAAACGTTAGGAACACCTCAACATGCCATGCAACTACTTTTGATTACTGTTAAGAGTTACACCCACATGTATGAAAACAGCTACTTGAGCCAATTACAGAACATGAATTTTTCTCAATTAACAAGTCTGCTCCAGAAGACTCAATTTCAGGAAGCAAATGTTCCATCCCTGTCATTACATATACACCTGCCAGTAAAGAACTCACCATGTGGGCTGGCAAAGTTAGCTGTTTGTCCCATTGTGATTCCGAGAGAGGAAGGTGAAGGAGTTGGACCAAAGGATGCTGGTGATGGTGCTCTTAAAGCTCCACTAGGTGAGCTTGCGGCATGCAAATTTCCTAATTAAAGACATCACATCACTCAACATACACATTTCACGCTTCCCTTATAACTGTTTCCTATCAACTACTACAGCTTTCCCCTTTTTAGGGAGACAACAAACAAGATCCATGAGAACTTGTTTTTGCACTCAAAGGCTTCATTTAGTACATTGCATGAGTGTTATATTTTCCAGATTGATTCACCACACAAAGGAAACTTTCCAAGATATTTGGCTTGAAGAATGGCATTTCCCCCGGCCAGCCCTTCCCCAAATTTAAATATTTTCAGCTGTTGTGCTATAACAACTGGGAGTGGAAAGCAGAGCTTTGGTGATGAAAAGCTTTTCTGAAGCAGATATTTAAAATTAATAGATTTTGACCTGAGCAAGTTCTAAGCCATAAGAATGAAACAGTCCCAAATATTACACAGCTAAAGATGACAGTTTCAAGAAATGGGTTTTTTTTAGCTTCAGAACGTACTTTCCAAAACATGCACGGCAGGACTTGACTTTACTATTTTTCCACAATATAAGGTACATTCTCTCGGCTAACTTGGAGCTAAACACAGCTCAAATAATAGAAAAAACATGCATGCACAAAGAGCTGAGTGTATACCTTCAGCACATGATTAGCATACAGACTCTCAGCCATCTTACCTGGTGACTGTGTGTGCATCATAGATGGAGATGGCGTCACTGTGTTGTGATAGGAGGTGGGTGGTGAAGTAAGAGGATATGCTCCCGATGCTCCTGCCTGTTTTGCAAATGGCTGAAATTGTCAACACAGGACAACAAAAAATTTTTATTATTTTGTACTAGAACTAAAGTTAAGTATGTGCAGGGGAGAGTTTGGTCCCCACCTATGAAATCTTACAGGTTCATCAACAGAGTAGTTTGATTCTCTGTTTCAGCTTGTGCAGTGCTCACTATTTTTTTCAGTGACTTTTTTGCAGTTTCCCCTCAAGATATTATACTTCTGCACCTCATTCCTTTTTATCTGCCACCTTGTAACAGCGAAGCCTCTGGACTGCCCCCTCCCATCTTTTATCTTAAACAGTCATTTAGCCTCCTTCAGTCCTTTGCTTTTAAGGCAATAAGTCTCATGTGACCTTCCAAAGCTACTGTTCATATGCTATGGGCTGTTTATACTGGAATGAGAAATGGCAAAATAAACTAATATGTTTTGCCCCAAGGGGAATTCCACAGCAGAGCAATTTTACAGTCTCCCTTTCCATTTTCTACTGCTAATTCTTTTAGGAGGCAAGTTCTTAGAAACCTACAGTTGTGGAAGACAATAAACATTTTTAATTTGCCTGGAGGGTACCTGTTGTTGTGGTTGCTGTGGTGGCTGCTGGGGTTGAAGCTGCGATATCAAAGAATCCATCATATCTCCTCCAATAGGAGAAGGTGGGTTATCATCTTCATTTACAGATCGTCTTCGTGCATCCTGATTGCTGTCAACAAACATGTTCAGGAATGTCTGTGGAAAAATCAGTTGTTAGCAATTTCCCCATTTAAATTTTATTACATAAATAAATAAGCACAGTATCTGCTGAGCTTTAATACTGTCTTTATCACACATAAGAAACAGGCAGATTTCTAGATTACAACATCAAGTCATAAAGAGAGTTTCTCAAGCGGTATTTAAACTTAATTCCCTTTTCTTTTAGAAAAGGGGTCTTTCATCACCACCAAACAAAAAAACCCTTGCTCATTAACACAAAATATCTCCAGTTAATTGACATAACCACACTTTTCTTTTTTCTTTCTTAATATTATGTAAAAGCCTACACCTGGAAGTAGCTGTTCCAGAACAACTCATCAGTACCCAGAACCTACTGAGTTGTATCACACAACTGCCCTGTTTGGCTAAGAACGCCCAGGTCACCTCCTCCATACCATTCTCTTGTATCCGGAGGAATCTGCCAACCCTCCTGAAGTACTTCTCTACCTTCCCAATTTCATTCTCTTGTATTTTCCACCGGTATCTACAGTCCCCTTCCTTTTCCCACTTCCCTTCTGCTTGGAATTTGTGAAAGAGGTAGATGTTTAGGATCAGCTAAATGCAGTATCAGAGAAACAGTGTTCAGTTCCAACTGTCAGAAGAAAAAATTAGCAAACTATCCTGTTTCACAATGGGTGCCACTTTCCAATAATACAGTATAACTAGTACTGGTACAAGCTGCTCTTGGCTAAGGTTTTTCTGTCAGTGTGCAGAGATTAATTTTTCAAGAAGAGTGAATGAGCACTGTATTCAGAAACAAAGCCACAGGCTCCTGCCACACACTGATGGAAACTATTTTATAAGAGAAGTTTCTGTCTAGAATCATCTGACATGGAGCATTTCCTCATGTGCACTGTCCTGCCACACAACATAGTTTGTGAGGAGCAGTTGTTGTTAATCCTGGAGAATACGTCTAGCCTAGCTTCAGCAAGTTTTAATAAAAGGATGCCTGAAGTAGCCTCTACGTTATTTTATTACACAGATAAGAAAAAAAACAACCCTGGACATATGATGCTAGTTTTCTGAAAGGAAATGTTTTAATTCAAACTAATTAACGAATCTACTGATAAATCAGGAAATTCCTTCTGTGCTCAGAATTTTGGAAGGATTGCAGCTCATCACAGAAGCTCTTTCCACACCTCAAGTTAGAAGCTCATTTATTTACGACGTTTTAGAAAACACAGGAACAGTCAGTCACCTTTAATCCAGGTGCAGGGTAAAAACCTTCAACTATTTTGCTGTTGTCAAAGAGACTGTACGCCCCATCACGTATTGCTACAACACCACGACTCCGGCAGTAGATGTCGATGCAGTACATATTCCTAAAAGCCAGCCTGATATGCGTGGGTGACTGTGGCAGAATTGAGAAACACTGATAGGCAGTGTTGGTGCGTTGAGTCAGACCCAGCATGGGCACAGTTGGAAGTTTGTTGATGGCATTTAATGGAGCCTGAGTGTCAAACAAAACCTAAGAGAGAACAAATATTGAGAGATCAGGCAGCCTACCTTTAAGTAAAGTTCAGGGAGAATGGGGCACAGAGGGGATAAAATCTCTCCCAAGCCACCTTCTGCCAATGAGATCCATAAACAATCATAACACATATAAGTAATTTTGAAAAGGCAGATTAATCAGAATTTGGCTCTTATTATCTTGCGCTTTTCTTGAGAGTAGTTTTTAAAACATTACCTGTAACAACTGCACCACATTTGGTGTTTTATTAAACATCTCCTGGAGCTGGTGCAGAATTGTGTTGTGACAGTTACTGCAACCTGAGTTTGGGCCGACAGTTCCCAGTGAAATGTGGAACTTCTGGAGTATGGAGTTCCACTGAATGCTGATCTGCAATCAAGAGCATAAAATGGCCTTGAAACTAGAACAACTACAAGGTTATAACAAGAAAACTGGTCTGCTTTATTTTTTTTCCCATTTCTCAACAAAGCTCAACAGATTCCTAACTCACCTTCCTCAAAAGTTGCTAAGGTTGTGGGGGGAAAAAAAAAAAAGAGCTGTTAGCTTTAACATCCATTCAGCTAGCTGGATTGTGGGCAACCACAAAAATGAGGAATTATTTTTATTAAGTCAACCAAAAAGAAAAAAAAGCATTTTCTGACAAAGGTGAAATTAATCTAGAGAGAGAACTGATTGATGAATTGCTGGAAGTGGACTGGTTTTCTCAGTCATATCACACAAAAATAAGAATTGGACATACTAATATGTAAGGAAGTGACATGCAAAATCCACACTGCTACTCTTGCTACTTATTAACCGTCCCAATAAAATGCACATAGAAATACACTTGAAAATTCAGCTTAGAACAAGAATATAAAAACCTTCCAGGAAGCAAATTTCAAGTGCATCAGCTACACACAAAAAAACGTCTGTAATAAACATGCACTTACTTCCTCTTCTACCTTGCATTTAAGGCAAGGCTGTGAGCAAGTACTCAGCCAGTTATCAAAGTAATTAATAAGGTGTAAATTCAAATACTGAAAAATAAGCTAGAGTTCTGAACAAGTGAACAGCACTGCTACAAAATAATTAAGGACCACCTCATTTGAAAGCACAGTATTACATTTAAAACTTTATCCTTTCTCCTGAGGCAGAATTAGGCATTCAGCTTACATACATCGTATGTCCCAGTACAGCAATGATGAGTAGCAACTGCTCTGTCAGAAAAAGGTTGCCACATCAGCTTTCATCAGTGAGGAGCACACAACTGTCCTTCCCACAACTTAAAGCATCTTAAACAAAGTCTCAAAAAACCTTGAACACCTAGTAACTTGGCAAATTAGCAATCTGACACCTTCTATTTCTCTCTTTTCAATAATGTGACTAAATAATTTATAGCACAATTCAGAGAACTACCATTCTGTTTTCAAACACACATTTAAGTGCACTTAGGAGTTACTTACGGAGCTCCCCTTGGTAGTTCCATAACAAAGGATAAGTTTTCGGTAATTGTAGATACGAACTTCTGAAAAAACGTTTAAGTGGTTTGGTATGTCTTTGAAGAGAGGAGGGAAAAGAGAGTGAGAAAACCACAGTAATCTGAGAACACATAATTTTAATGAAAAGGAGGTTATTTCTGCACCTGGTAAGGATCGTGCAAACTCCAGGACACATTCATACAGCCGAGCAATACTGTTCCAGTCATTAAGGAACATCTCAACAACTTTGCGACCTCCAACTGGTTCAGATAGCTGGTTTTCATATGTCAGGTAAACATGACGGGTTGGTCCTAAAGTGTTAGCAGATGGTAAACACTGATTAAACTAGTGGTTCCTAAACTGTGGTTTACAGACTATGAGTGAACTGCAGCAAGTGACCAGGAAGCATATTTAAATAATAACAGTGCATCAACTCAGCAGTCAAAATTTTGATTCAGGTACACTGGGGTTTACTACAAGTCTTAAGAGCAGACAGCTGTCCAGGAACACCAAAACATTAGAACTACTACCAGAGAAAGAAACAAAATATACCAGTCTTCCTAAATAAAACTTACCTTGCTCCCTGGATGAAGTGCTATTAAGTGGACAGTTTGCAAACACCAGCTCAGCCACCCACGTGCGATTATTTCTACCTTGTAACCGGAAAGTGCAATCAAGAAGAGATCGGTCCAGAGCCTTCTGCGTTTCCTCGTTTACGCCTTTACAGGGAGGAATTCTATTCATGATTAAAAAAAAAAAAAAAAAAAAAAAAAAAAAAAATCTCAATTGTACACAGTAGAGTTCCAAAACAAAAAATACTACCTTCTAACATTTCCTGAAGGACTCCCAAGTCTGGACATGAAAGAATGAACAAATCAACAGCAAAGACAGCTGTACTGCACAGCAAGATATCCTACTCCTCTTTAAGGACTGTAATAAGTGTGTTAGAAAAGCACTCCGAGTTAAGACCAATTTTTATTCACCAATAAAGTTGAATTTGCTGGATTCAACACCAGCAAATTACAGACTGTTAAGGGATCGGCTGAATTGCCTTGATCTCCTGGTGAAGTGAGAGCACTCCAAAATAAAGCTTTTGTACAGAGCAACAAGCCAAAAAAGATTAAAATAATAAGTTCTGTGGCAATCTGAACTCATGAATCAGTTTGTCTCCTAGAACAAGCTCACTCTAAATGCAATGAACAACCTGGCAATTAGCTTAGTACATACTAATTTATTCATATGCCAATGTGAGAATTGATCTCAGGGGACAGACTGACACTTAAGTAAAAACATGTCAAACTCTTTTCCAAATCCCTTGAGAATCTATCCAGATTTCATGTACCACCCTTAACTTCAGCTCACAAGTTCTCAGCATTACTATGCTCATATGCAAAGTTAAAAAGGAAGGGCCTGATGCATTTAGAGACTGATGCCTTTATATCACTATACATTTCTGCAGCATAAAAGATATTAAGAAGGTTTTACTCCAGGTGTCTTTGGGTTTTGGTTTTTTTTTTTACATTTTAGACTGATATAATCTGTTTTGCTTCATAACACAATCCAAAGTTTAACTGGTGAGGCTTGAAGTAGGCTCCAAGAAGTGTGGATTGCCAGGTAGAATGCACTGTGGTCAACAGTTGCAGGTCCAGTTAGTGGCTGGTTGTGGCTGACATTCCTCAGAGATAACACAGAGGCCAATACTATTTAACAATTTCAATAACTTACATGATGCAAAGGAATAGCAAGTTTGAAGATGATGCCAAACCAAAGAGAGCACGTAACATGCTGGAGGACAGGGGCTGCCATTCAGAGAGATCTCAGATGGCTGTAGGAATGATTTAACAGGAATCCCACGAGCTTCAGTGAAAACAAACGAGAAGTCTTGCACTTAGGCCTAAATAACCTCGAGCAACAGCACACAGTGGGGACTGACTGGTTGGGCAGACGCTCTGCAGAAAAATAACTTGGGGGCCTGGGAGACAGACTGAACAGGAGTCAGCAGTGTGCCCTTGCAGCAATGACAGAACATTGCATCCTGAGCTATATTAACCAGGCAATCAAGTGACTACTCCCCTCTAGCCAGAATTTGAGATTGCTCTGGTCAGAGAGGGCACAAAAGTCCTTAGAGATTGGAAAATGCCACTGATCAGCCCTAATCTGAGCAAGTTTGGACCAGATGACCTCCACAGGTCCCTTCCGCTCTTAAGTTACTGTACAGTTCTCAGATGTTTCCTCTACAATTTTTTTACCATGCAATCATCTTTTCTGGGATTCTTTGCGTTTTCCTCTGCAGTATCACATACTGGTATTTGTCAAATAACATATGGAGTACATAGGCCTCTGATCTGATCTAAAATTGCAGTTGCTTGGATTTTAGGATTGAGTACTGTCAGACTGCTTTCAGAGCTCCCCAGTGTAAGCTAACGAAGAAAACAAGTTATAGCTAGCTCTATGTCTACTCTTTATTTTCCTCTTTCACCAGCACTGCTTCACATGAGAGTGCAACACACACAAGACTTTTAAAAAACCCAACCAAAAAACCCCAAACCAAAAATCTCCCCCAACCCCAGTATTTTTTGTGTTAATCTCCAGATGATCCTTTTTTTCCTCTCAAATGTATGTACAGTAATAAATGAAATACAGGACCATATCCTCTTACTTTAATAAACGTATTGCATGGCTGAAGCCATCTCCTTCTACTTGTACTCCTTGGTGAGGAATGTCCATATTAGATAACTAGGAATGAAGAAGAAAAATGTTATTGCAAGCAAAAAGTCAAGCAAAATAACTAACTTTTTCAAGGATTTTTTCTTGTCTAAGGGTGACAGATGTTTCACACACTCAAGCACTGGAAAGTCAAAAACCAGTCTGTCCAATCTGGTATAAAGTTGTCTCCCACAAGTGTGTCTTTCATACTCTCATTTCCCTTTTCCTTCAACTTTTCAAGCTTTTTGCAATGCTTGATATTATAAAACCAGCTCTAACAAGACTAGAGCAACTCAGTGTAGAACATCAAGTCACCCAGGCTCATCTGGCAGCAGAACTCCAAAGTGAACACACGACCACAAGTTTGCCCAATAGCTGCATCTAGGAGTAGTAGAGGGGAAGAAAGGAAACAAAATACTTTTAAATACATACCTCCATACGAAGCCCTATAAATGGCATGTTTGTATCACACATGGCTACAATATGAGCTAGCACTTTATTGAAGGCACACATTTCTCCCGACCGTTTTGGTTTCTTAGGTTCTATGGAACATGGATCACCAGATAACTAGAATTAAAATAAAGACAAATGTACTTGCACATTTGGAGTAAATGTTTTGAAAAGATGTCAGAGAATAATCTCATTCATCCAAGTTTCAAACTAATCACACCCTGAGCACAAACTCCCAAAAGGGTCTGGTTGACTTCACGACTGAAGCAATTCAGTTAATTTTATAAACACATCCTTCCCTAAAATAGTATTTACATATCACTAAGCCGTAACAGCCTGACCCCAAGAAGCAACTCTTATCAGCCCCTGCAAGTCTTTCAAAGACTACACCTACATGGCACAAAGCATATCACTGCAGATACCAGTGCTCTGCATATACAAGCTACTCTAGCCACCTCAGCACAGTGCTCTGCCGTGGCTCTTCATAGCATCTCAGAAGGCTTGGCATGAATGAAAAGACAACTGTTGTAAACTAGTTTCTCAACATCTCCCAGGGGAAGCAGTCCAGAGAACCAAGCCACAATACAAGATGCTTGGAAGTCTGTATGGCTGACAACACTACTGAGGCTGGTATTGATGATCAGAACATGTGTTTAGCTTTCATGCTTTATAACTAACCCAATGGCTCTTGAAGCACATACCTTGCGCTTGACTCCACTCTTCATTTGTTTCCCACTTTTTGTGTCTAGTACCAACTCTTCAATGTTTGGTTTGAACTGCTGTAGTAAAAGTGCAGTAGCAGGGCTGTCATCCCCTTCAGCGTAGCTCACAGAGAGAAAATGGTACTTGTACTCTAGTTCTGTAGGGTTACCAGGAACATCAAACATCTCTACAACCTATATTTAGACAAAACAACAAATTGAGAAGACCCTCAAGCTAAGAATATGTCTACTACTATCTCCCCCTCAAAGACAAGACATTAGTCTTTTTCAAGATACTAATACTGTAGCTAGGAAAGGGATTCAAGAAGAGAAGGAAGACTAAACTTTCAGGAAACAAAGAGAATGGGAAGGTTGCTGAGTAACAAACCTTCACGTCCCCTCCTCTCTATAAGCCTGACTGCTTAACAAACTCGCTGAATGAAAGAAGGGAGAAGGGAGAGTCAAGGATTACAATTACTTGGTTCCTAATGCTAGAGTTAACAGCACAACAAACTGTCTGGTACATCCATGACGGGGAGCAAAAGACAGAAGCATTTTTCAGTTACTTACAATGTAGTACTGTGGAAGGCGAGTGAGTTTGATAAACAATTTGTGTTTGGAAAGGTTTCCCACTGGATGGCTAGCATAATTAGCTAGTTGAAGAGTTTCACTGCTCACTGTAGGCAGATGCTTTATAGACTGTTTGCAACGTTGCTGTCCAAGCCAGAACCTTACATTGAAATAAAGGTATTAGTACCCTGAGACTGCCGTTAGTGTCAAATTAAGCTGGTCATGTTCTAAGTCAACGTCTATCACTGCTCCACAAGTTATATACAGAAAATCACACAGAAAATTTCATGAGTTCTTATATTCTTATTACTATCTTTACATATAGTCTTCAGCTTAACAGACAGCTGTTAATTTAAGAAGAAAAGCCCTGAAATTATTCCCTAAAGGAATAATAATAAAAAAATTTTTATACACCACAATATGAAATTACAGTATAAAAAAGAAGGGATAAATTAAAACCCATGCAGATTACAGATATTTTACAATTTGGAATCTTTGATTACTTTTTGCTATAGAAAAGAAAATCTTTGCTCCCATATGCTGGTAAGCAACACAGTAAAAAAAGTCACCAAAGCTGAGCATCACTTCTGGGTTATGTTATAAACAACTCAATCACCCAAATAAGTTTGGACATGGAGAACCACATGAAAGACATCAAATTTATTCTATTGTTTGGAAATAATCTTTGTCCTACTCCAATGGATTCTGGCTATAGTGGCAAGGCCAGAAAGCCTAGCTAGGCTTGAAAAGGAGCTCAGAAACGTGTGGCTTGGTTTTTCAGTCAAACTTCTACTGAAAACAGCAATGGAAAAGTGTGGGTGCTCAGCATCTCTCCATCACGACACACATTTATTCTTGTAGATACATGTTAGGTATAGCTGTCCTAAAAGACATTTCGTGGGACTGCCTAGCTTCCTCAAAATCTGAAGCATTACCCAAGCCATTATCTCTTGAGTACATTATTTATAACAAAGGGAGGTTGATTAGTTTTCTCCAGGGTGCCAGAGCTTCATGCGTCATTGTGCTTCTTTTAGAAGCAAAATTCCTCAAATAGAGGTTTCACCCTGCAATCAGCTCAGAGTACTGGGAATTTCCAAAATGACAGAGCAGGTGGAACTTAGTTTTCATGCAGATGCAAACTGTATTTGTATTATTCCCTACAAACTCTTATGGGAGTCAAATATATCTTGTGCTTAAATCTCAGGGTTTTATGGAAGAAAGATTAGAGGTTTAAACCAGCAAGGGCTGAAGTGTTAGAACAGATATTATTTAAATCATCCTAGGCCACTTCCTGGTTTTTCCTCTGTGTTGTGAGAAGGGAGATTGCTCTTGCTGAGAAACAAGCGGAGTTCAGCTGTAGAAACAGAGTGGAATAAAGGAGACAGAAAATGAACATGAACACAAAATGAGATCCTCAGGAAGCAAGTGGTCTGCTACTGAATTAAGGTGAAAAGACTTCATGCAGTGTGTGCATAGAAATACATAAGGCTACCATGTAAGGGGACAGACTAAAGGAGGACTAGGGAATCAATGCCAAGCAAAAGCAGAATTTCCTCCATCCATTTAGAGGAAATGGCAAATACTCAAGGTTGCTTAGAACAGCAAAAAAGTATATCCCTTACTGTGGTAAAACAGAAAGCCATGCAAGTGTGATCGTCCAAAATACAAATATGATACTTTATTCTATGCAAACTAAGTGAATCACTCAAGTCACTTACTTGAGCTGCTGAAGCCAAGGAATGATACGCTTCATATCATCATTAACAGACTTCTCTATGTCATCGAGTGTCAGTTGATCTGCAAGAACATTAGGTGAGTGAATGGTCTTTTAAGATCTCCTCTTCAAACAAAATTTTGACCTTTTAATAAAAGTGTCTCATCTAATTTAACAATCACAGAATCATAGAACAGCCCAGGCTGGAAGGGACCTTGAAAAAGCAACTGGTCCAACCTTGCACAGGAAAGGGAGACTAGATAAGATTATCTAATACACTGTCCAATTGCATCTTGAAAACCTCCAGTGATGGAGTCTCCATCACATCCCTGAGGGGCCTGCTTCAGCGATTGATTGTTTTCACTGTAAAAAATTTTTTTCCTATATTGAGATGGAACCTCTCCTGGTGCAACTTTTAGCTGCTGTCCCTTGTCTTCTCCACACGCGTTCATTGTGAAGAGTTTAAGATACGCAACAAATGATTCATAATGCTTGTAAAACCACAGTAGTATGTTATTAGGCAAATAAACTAAAAGATATCGCTTTTCTTCTTTTCTTAGGTAATCTGAAACCTGAACTAAGAAAAGAAGAAAAGACTTAGACAGTAACTCAAGCTGTAGAAGGTCACATAACACAATTGTCAATCGGGTCCACACAAAATGACTGCATCCATTAATAGTACAACCCAGGAATCATGAGTCAAAGAATATGCACTGCAATGAGGCCTAACAATATTTAGTCTGTTGTCCCCTTAAAACATACCTAACTGAACTGTGACTCTTAAGCACAAAGATACACTTCTCAGTTTCTCAAACTCAGATACCTAGGTGATGACTCAAGTTCATTTGCATTACCTTTATTTACTTACAGAATTTCACAGATTTGACAGAACTATTCATACAAAATTACCTCAGAATGCAGGATTCTTGCAAGATATTAAATAGAACCTGGTTTTGCACCTACTTACCAACACCATACAGCATCAGTTGAAACATTCCAGAGTGGAGATCAACAAACACATGCAGGCACTCTGATCGACCACATGGTTCCAAAATTGGAATTACAAGAGTTGGAAGAGCCGTCTCAATGAATGCTAAACAAAAATTGATGTTAAAAATTTGATACAAAATTCAAATTCACCATATTAAAAATTAGCCCATTATAATCAAAAAACCTGTATTTATAGAAGCAATCTTCACTTGCACATTATTACACTGTTAATGTAAAGAGGGAACCAAATATAAGAATTTCTCTGTGAAAATAGTGCTAGTAACAAACCACTGAGAAAAGAGATCAAATTTGAAGAAAATTACTAATCTTTAAGCATCTTTTAATTCACTGCTTCATGATTATAAGATCAATTCAAATTCTAGTAGTTTCAGCAACAGTTTAAGTGAAATCTGATCCAAAGCTAGCTCAAGACAGTGCAAGATTTGCTTTCAATTCTGAACATGTACAAGTTCTACAGTAGACCATTTTTAACTTTCAGCACAGACTATAATGCTCTACCAGCTTCATCTATTATATTGTATTTACTGGTATGAGTATTTTAGAATTGTCAATGCAGAATAATTTAAAGGCAAGTCTTTTTAATTCTGAACACATCTCCCTTTATTTTTTTCATATTTCTTATTTAAATTAATGAAAACAAGAAACATCAAGAAAAAAGAAAACCATTCCTAGGCACAAATGGAAATTAACGTGAAACAAACTTCAGTAGAAAACACATACAATTGTCATTAACATTGTAGCTCTTAAGAATGGCTTTCAGCTCCTGGAGTTTTTGATGAGATCTTGCATGGACGCTGTCTATTAGGAGTTTTTCTATTGATAGATGGTCAATCTGTAAAAAAAGAACATACTTGAGGAAATTCAAATTTTGTGTGTAGACTTTATACATTAGTATGCTGGAACAAAGCTACTTAAAACAATCACTTCAGGAAGACTTTGCTTAGAACTGTGATGAACCAAATGAACTAAACTCAAGTATTTGGATCACTATAAAATACAGCAAACATCAGATTCTGCCTGTGCAGCAGGCAGTGGGAGGGTTTTTAAGAAAAGACCAGAAGAAAATGTAAAAGAAAAGAGGTTTCACAAACTATGCTGTTACCACTCCCTGTGCAGACCTACTTGTTCTGGATCAAAGCTGGGGTATTTTCTAGCTTAACATGCATCCATTTATAGCTAGTTTAAGGTAAGGAAAAGAAGACTCACAAAACGCTGCAAACCAACGCTTTATTAGAATACAGTTGTCTCTACACAAACACATATGTAGCTGTACAATGAAATACAACACACTAGTTTTAGTCCTGCCAATGAGACAACAATGCAGTGAAAATGCAGTGGCAGAAACTGAATATTAGCAACCTTACCGAACTCAGGAGTATCTAGAGCCCTCCATCTAAAACATCTACAGGCTGTTGCACTGCCAGTGCTGAAGCTTATGTCAATACTTATATTCACTGTAAATTACTTGTGCAACCTAAATTAAAGCATTTGCATTTATAGCCATTCACTTTGCAGTCATATTATTTACATATTTTGCATAAGCAAAGCTACAGATTACTTCAAAACTTTTTTCTAGTTAACCTCACATTGCTTTGAAAACTGTTCAAGGCAAATTAAACTCAAATTTTATTCTAGCATAAGAGATAAATGCAGAAGAGGTTTATACTGGAACCAAATTACAGAGAATTTCAGTACATGCCTTCATATATACCAGAATGACCTTCCCCTAAAGACAAGCTTTCCAAGACAAGGCCTTAAAAATCAAGTGTTTATCCACCCACAAGAGCATTTTAACTCAACAACTACTATGGGTTAAATCTTCCTCACAAACAAGTGACTACTGGTTACAGACTCCAATTTTCAGTAGGTTAATGTATAATAACTTGCTTAGACAAACATATTTGTTCATGCCACTGTTTTATATAGTATCTTAAATAAACAGAAACAGTGTGCTGTCTACGTCATTACAGCTGAGATCATTATTCAAACACTAGAACAGCAGTGTATACATAGCTGATAAAATTTTCAAGCTTAGAACAAGTAATTATAAAGGGACTCAGCATTAACTTTGATAAATCTCAAATTTACAGTGGCCTCGTATCTTAATCTACAGTCTGTAGACCTGATTTGGTGAGTTTAGGATTGCGTCAGCTCCAGTAGAACTTCAGCATATGTTTTAAATAAAGCATATTTTCCTGGATTTAGGCATAAATACAGTATCCTTGCCAAATTAACTGTATATTTAGTGGCCTAAATATGCTAATTTAAGTTATTAAATAAGTAAACTTGGTATATATTTACTATACTAATAGTAGAATTTCTACTCTAGCAGTAGAGTGGAAGGCTACTATACTCCACTAAGTTTCCCACATTCCTCTGTAGTCCAAACATATGAAGTTCTTGACATTCACCATACAGAGACTTGTCTGACAGACTTGGTAAACAAGATGGGCCAAGAGGCTCAAATACAAGGTATGTACAGTAGGTGAAGGCTGTCATCAGTAGAAAGTTCTGTAAAGACAGGTGAAGAATCTGAGCTGGTGAAATTTTCCCTGTGGAAAAACCGTACTGAAAGTTTGAAAAGTACACCATTCACTCCAGTTAATAAACTCTTAAAAAACCCAAACACTGTAAGAAATAGTGATAAACGCACATCCTGATACATCCTGAACGCACAGCCAGACTTGCTGAGGAAGTTACAGAAGACTTATTATAAAACCTAGAATGCAGTTTCTCTTAGATATGATTAACCAAGATCTAGAATTATCACCACTGAAGCCTTATCCAAGCTGGAAGTTGACTGCAGTTACTGATTTTGGATCATTTGAACAATCACACCTTTACCATAAAAGAATTTGAATACAAAAGCACATTCAAATATGCCACATGACACAATCTGGTTAGTGATAATCTAATATCTGTAACAAGCAAACCACATTAGGTCTTCTGCACAAGATTTCCAAACTATAACATAAGATTTTCTAAGGTGAATAGCACTGCTGGGTAGCCAATTCAAGCATCATGGGGAAGCCGATTTTCAGAGGAAGTTTACACAGCATCTCTGAGACAGGAAGGTGAAGAACTGGTGCTCTCTAAAGAATTTCAAGCCAAACACTAACTGTAACTTAAACTTTGCTGTTGTTTTCCCCTCAGCCTCAGAATTCTCTTGAAAGTGGTCTATAACACACTGTGAAGTAGGTGTAATTTTTAAGATTAAGGCAAGGCCAGCAATTTGTAACAACAATTTTAGGTCCCAACATAAACACAACACAGTCTGGAGTAACTGCTTACTAGAAATCTTAGAAACAGCTCTTATAATAGAAAAAGAGTGAAACAAGTTGACAATGAAAAGTATTTTTAAGTTTTTTATTCATAAAACTAGATGCCTACTGCAAAGCAAACCTTTACCTTCATAGCTCTTTCCATCAGTTTGGAATCACAGGCTGGCAGTGGAGGCTCATGAGATATTTGTAAGGGTTTTGAGACATCAGTCTCATCAATCTTAATAGTGACCTTATGAACAGATGCAGTCCCTGTTTTCCTGCCAAGCACCTGTTGACTTAAAATAAAGAGAATAATTAAACCATGTAACTGGAATAGCAGAAAATATGATTTTTCAGTAGCTAATCCTTGACTCTGAGAGTTCTGGTTAAAAACAAGATTATGTCAGCTGAACTGAAAAAAGCATTTATTTTAGTTTACATTTAAATGAAGAACTGTCAGTAAACTATAACTACATAAAGAAGTTTTAGATGGCTGCAAATTCAACACAACCAGAAGAGCATGTGGATTGCTTTTTTGAATTATATCTAGTGCAAGTCAAGCAGTAAACATAGTAAAAGACTGACAAGAAACTAATTAATTTGTTTAGATAACCACATAAATACAAGCTGATTTATAACTGTGTCCACTGTTCCCCTGTACATTAATGTACTTCCCTCACTTGCCTACAACTTCAGCAACATGTGTAGGTACTTAATTACAAGAATTTAGAAGTCTCACATCAAAAAGAAAGTACAATTCCGAAAATTCTGGCTCAAGCTTAGTAAACAAAAGACCTCCTATTATTTAATTTATTGTTTGTTAGCCACCCTTTTAAAATTAACTTACTTCCAAACAGAGAGCGAGAGACATTTCCCTGCATGATATCGCTCCACTTGCACAAGGTCACCCCAGCGCTCTCGAATCAGCATTAGTGTTTGCGAATGCAAGACTTCCAACTGAAGTGCTAAGCAGAAGGAGTCTAATGAACTGAGTTAAGAAAATTATGAGACCTCCAAAAACTATGTACAGTACATAAATCCATTTGTCACAAACATCGGACAAAATGCTGTCTGAAAACACACTAATGTACTAATCCAGAGATAAAGACATATAAACAGCATGAAATATTTCTCATTTCTTTTTCTTCTTTTTAAAAAACACCCTCTTATTTAGGGCAGGGCCTTAGACAAGAGTGACACAAGAGCTTTGCTTTATAGATTTTTAACTCTGATCATCTTTTAGGGAGGTTACTAAAAAAGAAATTCACCCTATAGGTACCACATGACCTATAGGTACCACATAACCCCATGGTCACCCTAAAATAACATGATTCTGTTTGTTTCTGCAGAAACTGTTTCACTGAAAACCATTTTACATTTTCAAGCAATTTGCCCTTTGCACACAGAAAATCACTGCACTACTTCCTGCACATGTATATCTTATTTTAATATTCTACTCACTCACTTCTCTCCCCTCCCAGTGGGATGGGGAGGATGAGCAAAAAAAAGTAAAACTCAGGGGTCGAGATAAGAACAGTTTAATAACTAAACTAAAATAGTAATAATAAAATATAATAATAGTAATGAAAAAATATAACAAAAAGAGAGAGAAACGAAACCCAAGAAAATACAAGTGATGCGCAGTGCAATTGTTCACCACCCACTGATGGATGCACAAGCAGTGATCTACCCCTCCCAGTCAACTCCCCCCAGTTTATTACTGAGCATGATGTTCTATGACATGGAATATTCCATTGGCCAGTTTGGGTCCGCTGCTCTGGCTCTGGTCTCTCCCAGCCCAACTTCTTGTACACCTGCACATTAGCAGGACATGGGAAGCTGAAAAGTCCTTGATTTCTCTAGCAACAAATAAAAACATCATGTCTTACCAACATTCTTATAACAAATCCCATACTGAATCCAAGACACAGAACTATTCTAGCTACTAAGAAGAAAAATTAGCTCTATCTCAGCCAAAACCAGGACAGTACCTCACTTCTACCTTTGCTGATTAAATGTGTACCATCAAATTTTACATGCTGGCACCTGAGAATAATTGTTTCCAAGGCCTTAATTTTTACTCCACATGCAGACATTTCCCCCTAGTTCAACAAGGAGTCCATTTTTCTTGACTTCTAGCTACCAGGAAGAGCAAGGCCACATTAAACAGCTTATTCAGAAGCAACTTTCACAAGGATACGCAGACAGCTGTACATATCCTGAAGTGGCTTTTCATCAGCAAACAGCCGCGACTGGACCAACTGATGGATGAAGTTGATCTGCATGCTGTGAACCAAGGCTCGACCATCTTTCATGAATTAAAAATAACTTAAATTAGACATCAGGAGACTAAGGATTTGAAATAATTAAATAAATTATAAAATATAAAAATAAAAATTAAGATACAACTGTCTGAGCAATTTCCATACCAGAATTTCTAACAAAACAACAAAATCCTTCGCTTACTCTGGAAATTTCAGTCAGTCTGCTACACTGTAATAGTCTACCATTGTTAAGTTATTAAAAGCACATAGAGCAAGCTGAAAACAGGACAAGTATATACAGCTTCATTACCTGAGGCTGTAATATGCAAGAGACCTAGTATAAACAAGACTTATCAATACCAGAGATGAACATCATGTTAAAAAAAAAGAAAGCGTGAAGCTTTGATTTCTTTTTTTACCACCAGTTTCCTTGTCTTCAACCAAAATTTCCAGTTTGAGAAGGCGCCAGGGGATGTCAGGGTCATCACCCATCACTGTCAAGGTGGCCTCAAACTCACCCTCAACTCGGAACTTCACACGGCCATTTGCTAAGGAAGAAAAAAAAATGGTTTTTTTTTCACTCAGTCTCCTAAGACACTTCAAAATATCAGTGTAGTAGCTCCTGGCACTCACAATGAATTACATCCTTATGGTTTCTGTGTCAGAACCAGTGTAAATAAGCAGCACAGACATATCAAATTGTCCTGAACAGCAATACTTTAGTCACAGTAACTTGATAACACTTGTGCTACTTTATTACACAGCAACACTAAGCTGACTACTAGCCTGACAAATTAGACAAACAAAATATCTGGCTTAGTTTTTTCCAATTCATTGCTGTATCAACAGCGAATACTTTAAGCAATATTCAAAAGAGGTTCAGAACACGATCTCAGCCCAGGCTGAAATCTGGCTCTGAAAACATATCTCACTGCAAACCATTTATTTAACATTAAAGTATTATAACTCTATTTTCATACAAGGAAGATAATATTTTGCATAATTTATAATATGCATACAAGCCAAGATTGTGTACACTATTTATCTAATTGACATATATAACCTCACACCTTTACGAACACTGCTATCAGTTTCAGGAACTGGGAAATTATGTAAGCAAGGCCATAAAGAGAATGAGTGGCAGAGCAATCACTTTAGTACTTACTATAATCTGCAGGTCAACCTTCTTAATCACTTAACAAAATATGCCATATACCTTTACAATTTTATACATAGAGGAATATTCCTGTAGAAATTTTAACCATTTTAACTCACAGAATTTCATTTTTTAAAGTATGCCAGACATTTTCTTAAAACAAACCAAAACCCAAACCAGTCATTGAAACGTTTAACTGAAAAATCTGCAGCACTCAGACATATATCCATTTCCATTAGACAAAAACGGCCTAATACTGATATGTGAACAATTGCAATAGGAACTAGTGAAAACTACTCCTAAGATTTTTCAGAAATTCTTCAATATAGGTCTGTGAAGGTATGGTTTACACACAGCTAGTCCAGTTCCTGTAAAAAAGGTCATCTTAGTGTCTAAATGAAAACAGCTATCTGAAAACAGATTAAGAGATCTGGCACTGCAGTGAGCCACAGAACAAAAGGCATGCATAAATACGAACAAATTTTACGCATGAAGATGAATATCAACACAGATTTTACAAAGCAAGATTAGATTGATTTAAGTTCAAAGAGCTTCTACAGAAAGACCTAACACTTAATTAAATTGCATGTTAACATTAACTTGAGATAAAGCAGGCTCTTTCATAACACATTTGCAAAAAGAGCAATACAATGTCTACAACCTTTTGCCATTACTTGCACAGGATTTCTTCTTGAAAGTAAATAGTATTTCAGCAATACTATCAGTGCCCTCATTTTTCAAAAGGACAAAACACGTATTTTGATGCTATACAGAAACAGGATCTCAGTCTTAATAAATGCCTAATGGTCCCGCTTAAGCTATCTTTTAGCTTTGCTTCAGCACTGAAGCAACAATTTAAAATCAGCCTGCAATAATGTATTCTTCAAAAAGTAATTCCAGTTCTTACCAACTGTAAGATTTGCCAGCTGTGGAGGGAGATCTGTAGTAACTAGTCGGTGTCGAAGAATCTGATTTAGCTGATGAAGTGTGGTTTGCTTCTCACTCTTTGTTATTGGGTCAGGAGGGATTATTTTATCCTGTTAAAATAAAGACAAACAAGTCTACATATCTCAGACATGTACAATACATTGACAGTAGCAATGGTGAAAACAAACCAGACTTGAAGTCTTAAAATATAAATGCTACAGGCCATTACACACAGTGAAGTTTTGTACCTTACACTTAGATTAGTTTTCTAGTTGATCACATTTTACCTGAGACTAACCACCAAACAAAATTGCTCAACTTGGATCAATTAAATAAATTCAGGGCCTTACATCAGACTAAACTTGGTTTTAAATACTAAGATTTGAAAGCCATTCCTTATCTGTAGCTATAGCTCTGTCAGAGGTAGCACTATTTATATCATTTCACCAAATCCAGTTAATTCTATATTTTAACAGTAAGAAAAGGCAGCAGCCTTAAGGAGAGCTGTTACGTATTTTCAGTACATTTTCAAACACAGGCAAAGCCTCTGAGAATAACAGATGTCAGCATCTCCTTTTCACACTTCATTTTTCTAGGATGGTGGCTTATCACCTGCAAATAGTTAAGGAACCAAGGAAGAACAGTTGCTACTACACTCATCCTAGAGCAGAACGAGTCTAAATGGAGAGAATGTTTTACTAAGAAAGCTTAACTTGTGCAAATTGGTAGTGCTCTGCATGAGACAGAGACACTACAAACACTTGGCACTAGGCGAGTATTAAACTACAGTTCCATTTGCTCATAAACAATCAGTTTCATTAACATGCATTTGATACTGTACAGGGGATGTCCCCCCCCCCACGCTCGACACATGGTAACATTATTTACCCTAATGCAGGTAGGCAGCCGTGGGTATGATCCAGTTGTCAGAACATCAATAGCATATGGGATAGCAAAACTCGGCAGACGAGCATGAACCAAAGCATCTCTAGCTAGCGATGCCAGACGATCAGCAGTGTCCACAAACAGAATGGCTTGCTGATCTAAAAAACTTGATATCATCTGTAGGGGACAAGAAAAATAATAATAATAATAATAATAAAAAAAAGGTGTGTCCAAAACCTGCACAAATCAATGCCCCTTTTTATTCAGTTCACCTAGTGCACATGGCTGAGGTGATTTTATCTGTCACCTCCAATTAAAGTGATCACATCTATAAAACAAAGAAAGAATGAACATTCTGGCCATTCCTTACATTCACATGCAAATACATTTTAAATGCGCATGCCACTTTTGATGCTGTGGAGGATCTGTAAAGCCTCACAGCCCTTTATCTGATGATTGCTACTGGAATGCAACCATACTTGTTTGTAATCACTCGGGGCTTGTTTTTTGCAACATTCTAGACTTTATTCTTACTTAACCAAGAGCAGGATGAAAGTGATAATAAGAACTAACACACTGAGATCACCATCTTCCCCATCCTATCACCTTAACCCCAAAGCACTCCTGAAACTATATGCAGACAAGCCTTTCATTTTTTGCCACTAATGAGTTTTTAGGAACATGAACTGTTAAAAGACAAGATTATACAATTTCTAAATAGGAAGAATTTAGTTATAACTTAATATTCATTTGCCTATGAACTAGGGGTTTGGTGTTTGGGTTTTTTTTTATTTCTATATTAAAGTTAGGGTGTACCGAAATCCCATCACTGAGACATTATTTCATACCAAAATCTGTTGCTAACTTACCGCACATTTTTCCACCTTTCCAGCATTATTAGCCCATTTGACTAAGGCTAACAAACGAACAAACAGCTGGCGAGTGCGACTTGCAAACTGCACTATTTCTATTTTTCTGGAAAAAAACAGATATTCGTTAAGCCAGCGCTCAGATACATAATAAAGCTGCAATTTAACTCTGTGCCAATAAAAAAAGCAGTAATGATAACTTCTAATTGTGTTAATGGAGGCATCACAAATATATGGCTTGTCTGATTAGAACATGGGAAAAAAAAAAAAGAGCTCCCAGTTCTAAATACCTAAATGCTAACAACATACATGGATTCTGACCAATCAAGACTGTCTGGAGAAACAAAAAAGCGTACTCACATGAATTAATCACTGATTTTCAGAGAAACAATTCCATAGTGAACTCAACTGAATTATTTTTATACCTTTTACAGGATTTCCCCGGGGTTTATGATTAAGTTTAATATAGACAAGGCAATATACCTAAGGGTTACAGGACCTGGCAGTAACATTAAGCTGACATTCACTAAAAAATACACAAGACACTAAACAAAGTATCATTGGTAATTTTAAGATGTCTTTATGCAGTATGTTACAATATGCTAACACTTTGCCTGGGGTAGTGGGGAAGACTACAAAATTCCCCCCACCCTTTTACTTTCCTCCCCATTCCTGCCTTGCAAAGAAACTGGGATAAGGAGAAATTACTGATAGTCAATATTCCTTCCACTGTGCTTTGTATGAAATAGTCAAAATGAGGCAGTGTATGTCTGCATGTCTCACAAGTTGTTTTTTTGTAAAAGAACATAACAGGGGCACACCCAGATTTTCCCCCTTCATAACACATTTACATTGTAGATGCATTACACAACACATGCACATCTACAATGTAGATCTGTAATATATACACTCTGAAATACCATTTCACCTACTGTTTACAGAGGTTTTTCTCCCTTTCTACACGTTCAGTTCACTAATTTCACCATGGTTTTCTAGCTACTTTGAAAAAAAAAAAAAAATATGTTTTCCTGATATGGTTTTCAAAAGTAACAAAAGCATGTGGACAAAAAGAACATTAATCAGTGCAACAGATATTGGTCTCTACTAAACAGAAATCATACCTCCTGATCCTAATCTGTAAAACACATAATATAGATAGAGCTTGTTTCTGCTGAAAGTGTTGGTGTAATGAGGTTAACTCTTTTGTGCAATAAGTAAAGCATAATCTGCTTGTGGCAGATGAACATTCAGGCCAGAAGCACAATACCATCTGGTCCAGTTTCTTACATTATATACTACAAACCTCATCCATGAGCTTGGGCATTAAGCCAATAACTTCTCTGCATTCTAGAGCATATGTTTTCGAATGGCATTCAGCCTGATGCTAACATTTCAAATGGTGGACAAGCCACAATACATACATAATGCTCTAATAGTAACCACACTATGAAAACAAGATGTTGAGAACTCTGAAAGATACAGAAAAAATTTATGGGATTTGAAAGACATCTACAGTGAAATTTCAGAAAGTCAGTAATCTCTCAGACAAACTCCATATAGAAGATGCTAAATTCTAGTAGTTATGTCAATCAAGCTGCTGTGGTGAAAACAGCACAATAGCAAGAAAAATTGAAACTGATGTTCTGTGACCAGAAGTCAAAGGTAGACACCTCCCGCCTCCCAAAAAAGATAAAAGCAATTTAATAAAGAAAATTATTGATAAAACTAGACACAGTGTTCCAGTGACTGTTCCATTAATACCACATGTGTGAAGTTACAGAAGACTTGTTACTTCTGCTTGACAGAATTCTGCTTTCAGAACCATCACTGCCATCCCTGAATGACAACTGCATTGGGAATTCACATCCATCTACTTCTCTACTAAAAACCCAAAGTCTTTCAATTTTGCTGGTCCCTTTGTCCTTCATTATAGATACAGGACCTTACGTTGGGCTGCACAAAAAAATTTATTCAAGCAAGATGAAACTTAAAGAGTACATTTACATGGCCTATAAAAGCAACGCACATCAAAAAGCTTTCTAATGACCATGGTACTCAGTGTGTTCTTTACTTTGGTCTTTACTGCTAAGTTCCGATCTCAGGGATTTCAGATCCTTCGGACTAGCAGCTGAGTCTGGAGGAGTAAAGCATTAGCTGCAGTAGAAGACTATCAAGTTAAAGACCACTTAAGCGAGCTTGACATGCATCCAAAGATGCCGAGTGAACTGACCCATGCCACTGTAAAGTTGCTATAATATTCAAAAGGCCACAGTGATCAAAGGTCTTGTTGACTGGAAAAAGGGAAACATCATGCCTTTCTTCAAGAAGGCCAAGAAAGATCTAGAGACCTATAGGCCAGTTGGCCTAAACAGTTAAGAAGAAAATTAAAGGAAGAAATCATTCTAGAAGGTACATCCGGATAAATAATGAACATGAAAACAGCCTGGGAACAGTCAGCACAGATTTGGCAAGGGCGAATCATCCCTGATCAGCTTAATTGCCTTCTACAGGATGAACAGCTCTGTGATCAAGGGGAGAACAGAAGATGCATTTACAATGACTTTTGCACAGCTTTTGACAAGACCCCCTATGGTATCCTTGTAGCCAAGCTGGTGAGATATGGCATGGGTAAGTGGACTACAGGTAGGTGAAAAGCTGGCTGGACTGTCAGGAATAATAGTCTGTGACTGGCCATCAGCTGGATTTTTTTAATGCTGATTACTAGTGGTGTTTCTTAAGGGTCAATACAGGGGCCAATACAGTTTAACACCTCCATGATGTGAAGGAATGAACTCTTTGTGGAAGTTTGTAGGTGATGCCAAGCTGGTGAGAGCAAACAGAGGGACCTCAGCTGGCTGGAGGAACTGGCTGACAGGAACCTCAAGAATTTCAGCAAAACCACATGCAAAGTCCTGCAACTACAACCAAACAAAAGCACAGGCTGAGTACTAAGTAGCAGCTGGGGAGCAGTGCTGTAGAAGTGGACCTGGGGGTCCTGGTAGACTGGTGAACACGCATCAGCAATGTGCCCTTCCAACAACAACAGGCAGTATTAGCACCAGTGCAGCCTAGGTCAAGGAATGTGTTTATTCATCTCAAGTCAGCATTTGGAGACATCTGAAGCATTACATGTAGTTTTATGATCCCTAGACAAGAAAGATACTGCTGTACAAAAGTGGGCTAGATGCTGGAACGCAGGACATACAAGGAGGGGCTGAGGAAACTGTGTTTGCTTCTGTTTAAGAAGAGAAAGCTGTGGTGAGATCCTACTGCCATCTTCAAATATCTAAAGGGCTGCTATAGAGATGAAACCAGACTCTTCACAAAACTGCAAAAAGGACAACAGCCACAAATTAAAACAGTGAAAAACTAGACATTAGGAAAACAAAGAAGCACATAGTGAGGCAGTCAAAGACTGAAGTAGGTTGTCCAGAAAGGTTGCAGGATTTCCATCCCTGAAGATATTTAAAACTTAACTGGACATGATCCTAAGCAACCTGAACCAACTTTCAAACTGACTCTTACTTCAAGCAGAGGGTTGGATGAGGTATCTCCAAAGTACCACTCTAACCAAAATTATCATCTGTGTCCATGAAAGGAGTAAAACACCATTTTGTCCTTAGGAAAGAGTGGAACTCAATGTTTCACAAAAATTAGGTAATTGCACTGTTGTTCAAGTCATGAATAACATTTTTACAACAGTCCCGAATCCTTTATTTAATCTTGTGTATATGATAGAGTCTTTGTTGTAAGTTTGAGAAGTAACAGTCTTGTTCACCAAGTACTGCAAAACCAGTAGGAAAACTGCCTGTTTTTAGGAAAACACTATGTTTATATAGTTCTATATATAGTTGGAAGTATTTTAACATTAATTCTCTTTTAAATACTTCTCAGTGGGAACTGTTTATCTAGGAAAGTAAAACCTTACACCCATGTTCCATTTTCCCACAACAGAATATAGGGCCTTGCAAAGTCATTATAATCCAAGTTCCAGTTAAATCTTACACAGCCATTAATGTATTTAGATAAAAGTTTCCCATATATTATGCTGTATTGGAGGATAAAAAGGAAAAAATAAAGAATACTGAGAAGAAAAAGGTCTCCATTATTAAGAAGCAAGCCCCTGGATTTTCCCCAGAACTCAGCACTATTAATTTTACACAACAGTACTCGTTTTTTTAATCCAACCATTTCTTTCTTGTTGCAGAAGTTATTTATTCCTATCATTGATAACTAATAAATGACCCTTTACAAAGAAGGACCATCTTATACTGCAAAGCATAATTTCCTATCAGTTTTTCTTATAACAGCATTTTTTAACTAGGCACCATAGTAATGAAGTTCAGATTTTATGTGAACTTTATTAGAGGATAATAAGATCACATCTTCACCAAAGGATGTATGCCATGTCACCAGGCTAGCTTCAAGAAACAGAGCTTGAAGCCCAACTACTGCTGTCATTACAGCTCTCAAAGTTAGGAAAAATAGAATAGTCTGGGTAATAATACTACACTCCTCACAGATTTCCTCCAAGAGCTGGTAATCCATTTCACCAAGAATAGTTGTAAGTCAAAGTTAACAAGGATGTGAACATTTAATTTCAAGACCATTTCAATTGCAGGACATTCTTTGTAACTGTTGAAGGTTGTCTTATTTTCTTTTATCTGTAAACTCTTAGGCCATAAATTGTTGCTCCAGACATGTGTGCCCCACAAAGGAGATTCCAAGAAATGCTAGACATCTAGGTGGGAGAAGCCCCCCACCAGTATGAGGGAGCTGTGGACCAAAGCTGAATGTCATTTCCACAGCAACTAGAGTGATAATTAAAAAAAACCCCACAACACTCCATACCAACAAAAAACAGATTGTTTCTCTTCATAAAGTAGTATGCATAAGGAAAAGGGCCTCAAGAAATTATCCCAGGTTACAATTCCTGAAAATGGGATTAATTCCACAACATGTTATGAGAATTTTATAAGATTTGGTAACTGAATTAATGATCAAGCTGGTATACATAATTCTTTATTAACATTTTTAGGAATATCATGGTTGCTATATGTCTCCAAAGAAAACTAGGTTAATTAGCATGTTAACACAAATAAAGGAAACAATCTTCTGACAGAGTCCATAAAATTTATTCAAAGAAACAAAAAAGGAAATCAAGTTCTTTCAACTTGGGGAGTGGGGTGGGAGTTGGCAGCGGGGGAGAAGGCTTGTTCTGGTCTCTTACATTTGTTCTCTAATAATCTTCACTTCAAAAACACATAGAACAGAAGCAGAAAGCAGTTCTCATGACAAGAAAGATCAGGTAACATGCAAAAAAAGCAGAAAATAGGTTTGTACCATGTTTTTATTGTTGAACTGCTTCTTCTGAACAAAAAGTTTATTTATCACGCTAACTAGAATCTATTTAGGTTCTTGAGTTCCCTTTCACATCAGCTTTACTGTGCTTCAAGATTTATGAAGAGAAAAATGCCCTTAACACAGTTCGCCTATTATAACAGCAACAGTATATTACTGAACAGTGCAATAAAAAAAGAAAAAAGCCCAAACAACCACAAAACCAAAACTATTATTGCCGTTGATGCTGAGAAAAAACTTGAAACTGTGTAGTGACAGCAAGAGAGACAAGGTTTATTTTCTCGCATAAAATCAAAATTTAGGAGGAAAATGGTTTATTTAAACAGTTCTGTATTAATCTTAACATCCTAAACAAAGTTCTATATTTTAACATGACTTACAGATTGTCTTATTGTAACTCACCTTTCCATATCAGTCTTTCTTGGTAATCTATATTAAAACGAAAAAACAAAAAAAACAAAAAAAACAAACAAAAAAAAAAAAAGTGTGTTATATATTTTTCTATTACATTTCAGACTCCTAGAAATTTTGTTAGTCACTTTCAACTGAGGACAAGAACAACTTCTACATACCTATAAAGAGCATTTCAAAATTTTTATGATCGTAAATGTTTCCTAAATACAATGAAATTATATATTTGATAAAGAAAGTAGTTTGACAGCTCTAGAAAGTAGCCTAGTTAAGGGGGGTAAAAAAAGATAAAATCAGGCATCTAATAGCACCACAGGGCACCTGCCACTGCTCTGTACCACATAAGCTGGAAGTAGTCAAAATAATTTAAAAGCTTGACAAAGGTTGCCAAAATCCCAAGACTTCTGCTCATCTAGTGAGCCACATCATATCCCTGCCTGTGCTTTGTAATTGATGACTCTGGCTAATTATCCATGACTAGAGTTAATGAATTCATCGTAGCAATCCTAGAACATCTGCAGCAGATGTTAAAATTCACCGTTTCCTGACTTGCCTGAAATAAGCTTCTCTTCCCTTTTTAATCAATCTACAAGTGGAGAAATGCCATACTTCAGAACTTTATCAACAGTATGTGTGATAGATACTACTCCAGAGAGGGGACTGTATTTCTGCAGTGTTCTACAGGTATCACAGGCATCTCAAAAAAGTTAATTTTTTATTCTAGGACTAGGCTGGTCCTGGTAAAAGAATGAGAAATCATGTTCATGGAGGGAAGGTAGAGAATAATTTCCAGTCAGGCTTTCTACTAGCCAGATCCATACTTCATGGGGAAATACAGTGGAAAAACCAAGCTCACACTGCTTTTGGAGTGAACATCACATAGCTTATAAGCTACCTGGTGAATTAAAGTGCCCAAAGCATTCCCTATGTGTTGTGCACACCACCCATTTTATTTCGTACCTTAATTATGTACTTAAGCCAAAAGGACCTGCTCTACACTTTAAAACAAGAATAAAAGACATCACAGGCACATGCTCCTACAAGAACATGTACAGTATTAACTACTGTCTACACATACCACAAAGACTTCTTGACTGATATTTTATAAATTATTCCAAAGCAAATTAAAATTCCAAAACTCTTCATCCTTTCCAGAGCTTGAACACTTTTAACCCCAAGTCAAGCAAAGGTCTGTTTGCATCTTTACCAGATATGGTACTTTATAAGAACTATACCTATTTTTTTCCATTTGTTCTGTATGTCACTTCTTAAAACATACAGGTTCCCCACAAGAACCCTAAAGTTAAACAAAGAAAAAGGAAAAACTGGTTTGTTCAGAATCCAAATGCTTTCAGGAAAGTTTTTCTTGGCCCAAAAACATTCCTTTGTTTTGCCACTTCAAATACACCTCCACCAGCACAGCAGATCATAAAGTAAATGTAAACAACTTATTTCCCAAAAATAATCAAATGGTATTTCAAAAAGTACACGGGTAACTCAAGGAGTTACAGCATCTGAAAACGTCTGTTTCTCACATTTCAGCTTCATGTATTTTGCTAACAGTACAAACACTACAGTTGGGTTTTCTGACAGGAGCTTCGAGGCGAACTTGGGCACTTAACCAGAGCACCCGCCTGCAGCTGCCCTGCATTCCTCACAATCATTCTCTCTCTTTAAGCCACATCGCTCAGCAGCATTTGCTAGGCCCCTGAACACACCCCGATGCAGAGACAAACCTGCACCAACAGGGCATTTCCCTGGGGTGGGAGAAGGGGAAGAAGCAACCACCTCCCGCCACTCCGGCCCCGGCCGGGCTCCCAGGCAGATCCCTAGCCAGGCCTCCCCGTCCTCCCGGGCTGCTGGGAGGCGGCACCGCTGCGAGCCCAGGCAGCCGGGCAGCGGCAGGGGCAAGCGCGGCAGCTGAGCGGAGCGGGCCGGGGAAAATCTGGGGCACTCACAGGTCGGCCAGCACGGTGAGCTCGGCGTAGGTCCGGTGCAGGAG